CTTAATACAGTATACAGTGTTTCGTATGGTGAGTTAAAGATCCGGAGACCCTTTCTTAGTGGAAACGAGGCTTTCCATCTGAGTCCTCCGCGTTGACAACGCATCTGCATTTTGATTCTTAATCGAGAATAAATGTAGATGTCTCGTTTGGCTCCCTTATTCTATAAAAAAAGCTGTACACGTCATCGTTAGAGCCACACGCAAGTGTGAATAACGATTCAAGAGCAAGTCTTATACGACACTATTCCGATAGTTTCCGGATGTCATGATTGCAGTCTGTGCGGGTTTAGAATGGTTCTTCATCACCTAAAAAACATTGGGGCCCCGGGTGAGGACGGAATTACAGCGGAGCTTCTGAAAGCGGATGAAAAATCAGTAACTGAAGTCCTTCAGAAAGTAAGCTCTTTAATTCCGTCCTCCATTGTGGTACTACTCCAACGGCGTAGAGAATAAGTGTGGTGATCTTGTTCTTCAAGAAATGCGACAATGTTTTGTTGAAAAACTTTCAACCGATTTTCCATCTGAGCCACGTATCTACATGCGGTTTCCGAAAGGAAATTAGGAATCCTCTCGCACGCAGATTCGACGACTTCGAGTCTTCAGAATAATCCGGTTTCCGAAAAGGCTTAGGCCACATGCATATTCTTCAGCAAATTGTACAAAAGAGAGAAGAGTACAACCTGCCACTTTACCTTTCTGTGAGAAAGCCTTTGATTCTGTTGGAATTTGAACGGTGCTACAGTCCCCTCAGCGGTGCAAAGTTGACTGTCGGTATATCGAAGTGCTGAAGTTTTTGTACGGTAGGGCTACGATGGCTATCCGAGTACAGAACCAGAGTACGAAACCTATCCAACTTCAGGGTGACGTTACATCGCCGAAACTCTTCACCGCTGCATTGGAAGACGTTTTCAAGCTACAGGACTGGAAAAGATACTATATTAATATAGATAACGAGTATACTACATGTTATAGTCCTTATGGCAGAATCGCTAGCGGACCTAAGTAATATGCTCAAAAGACCTCAATAGTATCTCCCAACGGATAGATCTTAAGATGAATATGGACAAAACAAAGGTAATATGTACCTAAGGTTCATGTCAGACCTATGCCGGTTGTTGTTGGGGGCACTACTCGGTGGAGGTGGACTACGAGGTGGAGGTGGAGTCGCGGGGAAGAGAGATATATAAATTGTTCATAACTTTTACAGTAAATGTATACTGTTAGCAAACTTTGCCCGCCCTCCGTCGGTATAACTTCACTTACCTTTCAAAATCAATATCAATGTAGTTTGAATATTCATTATTATTGTGACTCATTTATTAGGTGGGGCCATGGAGAGAAAGGAGTGTCGATATTGCAAGGTGCCGTTCTCTCTACCTTTCGCAATCGAAACTTGGTTGACGGCGGAGCCTGAAACCAAATCCGCCGCTGGGGTCAGGAAAGCTGGTGACTCCGAGTGCTCGTTTTTTCCTGACCCCATGGCTACCGCATATAGGGCTAAGGGTAGTCCGTTGCACTGGTGGAATTGAAATCTGCGAAGTAGTACGCGCCTTGTGTTGCTGGTGCACCTTACCTAAGAAGGAAAAGGGGGGAGGAGAAGTCCTCTCCCGAGGAGGAACCACCATGGTGTGGTCGGCGCCGGTAAGGCTGCGGATGTATGCGATAGCGTTCCCGTGGTCCTGTCAATATGCGACGATGATGGAACACAATGGGGTTTCAGTCGGAGCGAGTCCAATGTAACACCTCCTGGCCCCCGCAAGGGAAATATGCGTAGGCATTTCCCAATGTAAAAAACTACCACTAGATGGAGTGTAGACTTGGTAAAACATGCAGGAAGCTAATGGATGCAGGTGGCTCAGGACCGTGATTTGTGACATTCTTTGGGCAAGGCCTATGTTCAGCAGTGAACTTGTGAAGGTGCTGTAACGATGATGAATGATGAACAAACATCATCAACAACAACAAACAACAAATATTATTAATATCGAGGTGAATAACAAAGTTGATATCAATCAGTGACTAACTTAACTTGTTAGGAATCTAACTACTTTGACTTAAATGAATATTTACGTATTTGTAGTTTTCTGAATAAGAATTGAAATATTTCACCCTAAAAATATATTCGTATACAATTCGTAATGGTAATTATCATTTGAAATTAAATTAATAGAAACTAATATTATTATCTAATACTTTGACTACGAAAAAGTAAAAATATGGAATACATTGTCATATTATTTTGGTATTATACATATACAACTCTTTTACATTCATTCAAACAAACGTTACAATTGCAAGTAAACGAAGCATAAAAGGCAGTGTGCTTCCATTACTATATAACACATTACGTGGTGTCGATACAGTCTGAAAACATATTGGGCGGGCGGTTTTGACGTACGCACACACACGTGGGAAGTAATTTGCGGAGGTGAGCGGTGAGCGTACCGAGACTGAACTTATTGATTTGCACCGGGTTGTCGTGTGACACATCGTACTTACCCCAATAATTTTTTTATCAAATACACTGAAAATAAACTGTTTAAAATATGGTTTACGTAAAATAGTTTTCACTTGTCAATTATTGTCGTTAAAGTTGCATTTATTTATACATTTTGAAAGCTATTTCATTAAGATCTAGTTTAGTTCAATATTTCTAAGTGATACATACTTTTACATCTGCAATCAGAGCTAGTGCATCGCTTTATAATTGAACTCAGTTTATTAAAAAAGACTGAGTCCTTTCATCTTCAGTTTTGAGATGTTGAGTTTTAAAACGCACACATTTACATCTAAGCATTTACTCGCCAACCGTGCAACTATACGTGCCTTGAGTTAAGACAAACCACACGCAAAATTCTTATTTAATTAGCGCGAGCAAGTGTTTCAACGTAAAATACACAACGTTGACTTATTTAACAGAGGTGTTAAAGCAGGCATCTTAAAGGTCTACTGAGTAATAATTATTTCGATAATTAGTGTGTAGTGTATTACATATACCTATAAAATTGTTATATATTTCATTTTACTCTTCAAATATATTTGTTTTGATTGTGTTTGAAGTGACGTAGACTAAGCTACGTTACTTGTGCAATTTTTCTTTGTACTTTGTTTGTAAGGAACTTTTAATTGGCCTTCAGTACACTTTTTTTTGTTCCTAAATACGTAACTAGTAGTTTAGTTGCTGAAAGTAATTAAAATAAATGAAAACGTATTTTGCGATTTTTTTCAAAATAACAAGGTGTATGGAGAAAAAGTATAAACTAGTGCAAATATTCTCGAATATAATTAATAATATTGAAATAAGCAATTTCTCAATTTTCCGAAAACCTAACCATAAAATGTTAAGACGAGAGTACGAACAAGGTTTGCGTAGGAAAAATTATGGTGTGGCGCGATTACAAGGTTTTTATGTTCTACTCTTGTATTATGCTATTTCATAACGTGCCTGGGTTATGACTAGAGGTTACAACGTGGAAGCAGGTAACCGCGGTGTTAAGCTAGCGCCGGAAAGCTAGTTATGAATAAAATAACTTGATCGGAATTCATAAAAAATAATTATGATTTTATTATTAATGTAATTAATAATAAAATAAATAATTTTATTTTAATTGAATGCGTGCCATAATTGTAACGTAAAGCTTCTAAAATTTCACTTTGAATTGCTTAGTTTATACGCTAATAATTTAATAAATTACGCCACGTAAGGTATATACGGCTAAAATATAAATGACGAACGTAAAAAGCGCGGTTAACGCCATATAAAATTTTGCTCTATTGAATCATCCTCATCATACATAATCCTGGACATCAGTTCCTTATTAAATAAGAATGTTTTGATAATCGACTGTGCAGCCTACTTGGCATAGCGATTGTTTCTTCATTGTTATAATTACAAATATTTATATCTCGAGATATCTCCATCAGGCCGTGAAACTCCATTGCAGAATATAAGCCTCCTCGAATATCTCGAGAACAAATGTACAATTTTTAATAATAAGTAGAATATGATCGAGTTTTTGCTACGAATAAATAAACTTTAGAAACGTTATATTAATCGACTTTACGAAATAATTGGAAAGAGCTACGAAGCTGTTTCTAAAATGTTTATTTATATGATGTACAGTACAATACATAACATTAAAATGTTTTAAATAAATTTCGTTGTTGGTCCTTCCAAGTAAAGTTTAAAGTTACAGCCTATATACGTCCCACTGCTGGGCACAGGCCTCCTCTCATTTCTGAGAGGGTATTAGGGCAAGGAAGTGTCCGCCACGCCGCCCCGATGCTTTCTTTTTTTCTCAGACATGCAGGTTTCCTCACGATGTTTTCCTTCACCGCCGAGCACGTGGTAAATCAGCACTTAAAATTGCAATTAAACATTTCATTGGTGCCGGTGGTGATCGAACCCGGTTTGCTCGCGTACTGTGAAATTTACAGCGAGCGCTAACCATCTGAGCTACCACGGCTCCTGGTCCTTCCAAGGACAGAGGCTTTTCTAAGCCTTTCTAAAAATTGAAATTATCTTTCAATAGGTATTATTTATAATCTCTTTTGAACAAAAAAAATCCCATTTCAGTTACTTTTTTAGTCAATTTATTACTAAATCCGTTGAAATTAATCCCCAACACGAGCCGCAGAGAGAGAAGTTGAATTGTTTTATTTTGGTCCTATTCAAAACGAACGTTTCTAGAAGACGTTTTATAAAAAAAAAATTATTAAAACAATATAAAATTTTGGTAAAGGTTTTTTGTCATTCGTATTAAATGTATACTGAAATGGAAAATGTTCCTACCGACAAACATTTAATGTTTTCAAAGTAAATATTTAAAAACACTAACTAATAACCTATTTCTAATAAATAAGTCCTAGATAAAATCGATACACATGATATAACTTTAAGAGATAAGTTAAGTATGATTTCTCTCAAGAATATCAACAATCTCCCGGTCTACGACAAATGACGAGGGACAAATACGCATTTTAAAGGATCTATGACTTACCGCAATTTAAAATGCAAATCGCCAAGACGACCGTCGTTGTTTTCCGGCTCCGTGGGCTTGATTTTCTCGGTAGCGGTGGCATCGGCGAGCTCCTTGCTGAGCGGCGCGGGCTCCGCGGGCGCTGTAGGACTGTGCGGACTGTTGCCGCCGGGCGACAGCTACAAATTCACCTTACTTTTGTATACAGTGGAAAATTTTGATTCAATATAATGATTTTTAAATGATACCTATTGAATGACTTACAGTTTGATTACAATGTTAAGAAATACATCCAGTGAATGAAGTAATCGATACAAAGCTGTTTCTATAGTAATTACTATAAATATTTTAAGCTAGTTCATCTCAGGACAGATATATTTTCCAAACCAGTGGTAAATAAAATTTCTTTCAATAAATACACAGGGCTTTTGTTACGTATATTTATATACGTAACAAAAGTCCTGTATATAAATATACGAAAGCCCTGTACGTAACAAAAGCCCTGTGGTTCTTAGTTCGTTCTCAGAATCCGTATTCAAGCGTAAAGAAATAACTTTACTTCAGTAAACACGACCATAAAAATTAAATTAAATTGAAATAAGAATTGCAAATAAGAATTTATCGATGCGCGTGTCACGTAGTTCGTAGTAAAGTAAACTTTTTTTTGTATTTAGCAACTATAATTTATTAATTGTGTTATTTATATTTTTATTTTTACTTATTTACTGTTGATACGTGTGTTTCATCAATTGCCTTAGACCCTGTATGAATTATACGCAAATGCTGTGGCAGAATACAGATAATTTCCGTTACAACTGAGTCACAGACCGTTTTGCCACAACTAATTATTAAGCTGTCTATTTAAATTTTAACATTGTATTTTTGGTGGCAAATAAATACTTTTTATTTATTTATTTAAAGTAGTGAAGTTTTTTTTTAATAAAATTTCACTATCATAAATGTCATGCCTGTATGTCCATCTACACGTCCCTGTAAGGATCACCGGGTTGTTTGTTAATTACGTGATTTATTAATAAAAATATTTTATTTCAGTCTCGTCGGTAGAAGAAATATTATAATATGTCATACATAAATTAACACAAGGCATCTTCTTATATGCCTATGTAAAACACAAATAGATAATGTTTCTACCTATGTCCGTTGAAACCATCCAACCGATTTTGATGAAATTCTTTGTGTGTGTTTGAATGGGTCCCTAGATGGTTTATATTTACATTTGGACCCGGTAGGTGGCGCTGTTGTCGAGATCCAGAAATCACCAGTGCGAAGCCGGGGCTGATTGCTAGTTACTTATAAAATTACCATTGTCTCGGTGTATCTGTCTGTCACAGAGGTTTTCTTATAAATTTAGCGTTGCACAGAGGAACTTAAAATAGGGCATAATAGCAATAATGATTTTTATTCAAACGCGAACGTGAGGATTAAAAATACAAATAAAAAAAAAATTAAAATTTTCGACTTAAGGTATTTAACTGATAATATGAGAAGTAATAAAATGATTTTAAAATGCACGCGAATGCGTCTATTTTAAAAATGTATAATTTTGTCAATAATTGTTTTTTATTTTAGACGTTGATTCTAAACAATCCAACAATATTGCTGTCCCTATCTATTGTTGTTTGCTGTCCTATTCCAGTGTCGTGTCCAAGAAAAATATGTGTAAAAAATATATCGATTATATATGTAAAATAAATCGTAAAATTCTACTAGCTTCCTCAATATTCAAAACTTTAGTGTATTTAATACCTACATAATATTATACGATCATCATCAATATATCAAGAATAATCGTCATAATCATGTCAAAGCTCACAATTCTGATGTTCAGCAATGGAATTGACCTCGCCCAAGAAATGCCACATGGAATGGCCGTGAACTACCTGCATCTATCAACTTCCTGCATCTCTTCGTCACTCCATATAATGGTATCGTCTACCCAACTAGTTATATTGTCTATACATACAAATAAAATTGAAGTGTCTGTCTGTAACATAGAAAATTGCCTTTTTTTTTGAGATGTAAGTAGCCGATAGGCGTAGTTTAGGCCCCCCATTAGATGGAGTGACGACCTGGGAAAACATGCAGGAAGTCGATGGATGCAGATGGCTTTGGACCGTACTTTGTGGAATTACTTGGAGGAGCCCTATGTTCAGCAGTGGACTTTAAGGGACTCTAATGAGGATAATGATGATGATTGAGCTGAGGGGGTTATTTGTACGCCGTTAATTTGTTCTGTCTATCTGTTTTTACGGGCTAGTCTTTGAAACGGCTGAATTGGTAATTGCTCAATTGCTAGGCTATATTTTATCCAGAAACTATGGAGATTTAAAAAAAAAGTAATTTTTTTTAATAGGATAGGGTGACAAACGAGCACACAGTCCACCTGATCGTAAGTGGTTGCTGTTACCCATAGAATCTACATTTATCTTCGATTACGAATCCAAATGCAGATGCGTTGTCACCCGTGAGGACTCAGATGGAATACCTCATTTCCAGTAAAAAGGGTATCTGGTTCTCTACACTCACCATACGAAACACAGCAGCATCAAGCTACTATTTCACGCTGGTATTCTGTGAGAGCGTGGTTCTTCCCCGGTCGAGCCGACCCATTCGTGCTACAACTATACTACTAATATAATTGTAGCATGGTTCTACCACATACAAAATTTTAAATTGATAAAATAATTGATTATCTTAAATATAAATAACCCTACATTAATAGATCCTATCCAGGCGAAAATTAATAGGTCCTACCAAGGTGGCTGTAGAGAAATAAATTTAATTAACTGTATATAAATGTCCGAGGCGAGAAGCTTTCTCAATATTACGACTGTAATAAAACAAGGAAAGTATCCTGCGCTGTTGAGGTGCGTGTAGAATTCATAAGTCCTTGAGTTTATTTTATGTCTCGGTCGTGCAGGTTTCCTTGCAAATAAATTTAACGTAAAAGTGACTAGTTTATTTTACGTCTTTCGGAGCCGGTGGTTGAGGCTGTGGCGGAGACGTTGCTGGTGTAGGAGCGGCTGCGGTGGGCGATGGGGACTTGCGTAGATAGTGGGTAGCGGAGCCCGGCGAGCGCACAGCAGTAGCGCGCCGTGGCGGCTGGAACACCAACGCCTTGTCCGGACCACGCTTGCCACCTATCATAGAAGTAATATAAGCAACTTGTATTTAACTGACTGCATAAGTCGATCAATCTAATAATCCACGAATTTTTCTGTCACCAGGACGGCACCTCGCCACCGTACATTACGCGCCCATGCAGGCGTCAATCACTGCATTACACGGTAGGTTATTCGTCAATCGCAACCTTGATTGTTGTAAAACTGACAGCTTGCATGAGCGTGTAATGTACGAAGGAACGAGATAAAATATTTGTCATTTTGACGGGCCAAATTAATTTGCTTAGAAAATGTGAGGGTCAGTTTTTCTTTTTGAAATATTAGCTATATTTAATATTACTCAATTACATAGGATATAAACGACTACGGATATTCCCAAAAAATATAAAAATTTAAAAGATAGTTAACATGTGCAAACCAATGAGGCATTGGTTTGTGTAATTACATACTCTAAATTTTTTATAGGATAAGGGTGACAAACGAGCACACAGTCCCCCTGATTGTAAGTGGATGCTGTGGCCCATAGACATCTACATTTATCCTCGATTAAGAATCAAAACGCAGATGCATTTTCATACCTGAAGAGTAAGATGGAATGCCTCGTTTCCAGTAAAAAGGGTCTCCGGTGTCTTACCACATTACACTCACCATACGTAACACAGCAGCATGAAGCTGCTATTCCACGTTGGTATCTGTGAGAGCGTGGTCCTTACCCGGTCGAGCCGACCCACTTGTGCTACAACTATACTACTAATATAACTACAGAATGGTTCTACCACGTATAAATGTAAACGTAAGAATGCGATAAACTTTTATTTAAAACGCAGCTTCTCAATTATATTAACATTAGTTTAAGTTTAATAGATAACTTGAGCTCTGTCCCTATTAGCGACGAATCAGGTAGGCGAAAAATGATTAGCCCTTATTAAACGACTGTTAAACGTTAAATCAATCGCATCTGAGATAGATGACGATATCGATTCAGTGAATCATGCTAAGAAGGAAGGAAGGAAGGAAGGTCGCATTAGGTAAAGGCGGTTGGATTTCATTCCGACGTCGTTGTCGGACCTTGAACCCATACCAAGCGTTTCGGTTTTTTAGTACACTGATCACTAATTTAGAAGTTATCAAAGCAAGTGTGAATAGTCATTTTTGGGGATAAGTATCTAGAACCCTATCCAGCAATTAACATTGTGGAACAAAAATGTCTTAGATTACTAGTCAGTAGCACTGTTTTCCTGCTTAGTTCTCACTATTTTTAATCCGTGAAGAGAAACCTTTTAGTTTATAAAAATAGATAACGCCTGGATTAAACGTAATTACTTTTTAGCAGAACTTCTCAATTGTGTAGTATAGATATTATAATTCATTAAACAATAACTATATATCGGTATCTAATCGCTCAGTACGATTCGAAAAATTAGACTTTGTTATGTCTAAAATGTTTTTTTATAATAGAAAAATAGACCAATGAGCGCGCGACTCACCCATAAACCGTCTTATTGTTTATGGTCTTAAATGATAAACACGTTATAATAACCTTTTTTATATAGTCCTCGATAAGAAAAAAGTGTTTTATAACCTAATTTATATTTTCAGGGACAGTTTTATAAAAGCGCTTACCGTATACATCAATAAGTTACTATGTAACTACACAGAATACAATAATATTTATACATACTATAGGTAACTATATGTTATACGTAAATAACCAACATACCAAGCTTATGCGCAAGGGAGGCCCGGCGCCGCGCGACCCAGCAGGCGAGCGCGGCCAGCATGCCTGCCACCACTGCAGCCGCTCCCACCACGAACACCCAAAAAGTCGCGCTGTGCCATTCGCCAGCTGCAACAAAATATTTTTTTTTGTTTAAAACACGGAACATACAAGAAAAACAAAAGTATTCGTATGAAATCGATCTGAAAATAATCCATTGTAGCGGCTATATATACTGTTCTATATATACTGAATCATAAACAGTATATATATGTTCTATATATACTGTTTATGATTCGGAATGTTGATAGCGCGATGTAGGCTTCGGTGTGTTTTCGCTTGTGGCGCGACGACAGCGCCGCCACATCACCCCCCTGCTCAGACCGGAGGTCGATAGTGCAGCCTCGTTGCCGACGAATGTGCAAGTGCCAGGAGATTGCCTTGTCTGCGGTGAGTCGAGAAGAAGGCAAGTAATCTGCGAGAGTGCCGTGAAGCAGAGGCGAGCAGTAAGGCTCAGAGCCGTGCCGAACACTGTATAGCGCAGAGAGTAGCTTGAAGGAACAGGAAGCATTATTATTCCAGTGCTGCGATGAACCTTGTGAAGCTAGATGGCTTGCAGGATATGAAGACTGCAGATGATATCTGCTCGGGAGCGAATTGGGTGGGGTATTCTATGACGTTGAGGAAGCTTGAAGTTTCCGAAGGTTGTTGGTTGCGTGTTCAGATCACGTCGGGGTCACCACTGTGGCCGTGAAGGAAAAGGGGAGATCTCCCGCCGGGCAAGGTGTTCTGCCCGGGGAGCGGCCAACACTCCGTGTGATAGTTCGGAGAAGTTCTATATATACTGTTTATGATTCGGAATGTTGATAGCGCGATGTAGGCTTCGGTGTGTTTTCGCTTGTGGCGCGACGACAGCGCCGCCACATCATTTAACTACGATATCAATGAGAAATGCGAAATCTAAGTATGTAATAGGACTTGAATTCGCTATGTAGGGTCGGCGTGAGTGAATCCATTACCTAATATATCATCTCATGTGTGTCGTAAGTGGTGACGGAGAGAAATGAAACGGAAGATGGAGATGGGCGGCAGGAACTTCTGCAAAAAACTCAAAATAATTAAAAATAACTGCGGTTATCAACCCGCCTTCCAATTGTGGTAACAAACTTTAGGCCTATGCTCAGCAGTGAGTTAAACGTCAGAGCGGGGGCCCGCTACCCCTGTTACGACGGCTGTTAGATAACTCATTTACGTGCACTGTCAACTGATGTAGGCGAACATCGTTACGCAAGTAACGTTGCAGATCGATGCAGAATATCTCTCTTAATTTTTAATTTGCGGCCCCCAGGCCGCGAGCTCTGATGAAGCTGTAAAAGCCAAAAGGCTAACAGCACCAACAATATCAAAAACCAGTCGTCGTCGTCGTCGCTCAACAGTGAGCTTCGATACAGATAAGTAAATCGAGAAGACAATTTTAAAAATAAAGAAAATCGAACGAAAACTAATTTACACTATAATTCTATGGTTCCTGGTCTTTATTCTGCGAACCTATTTATATCCTCCTCCTCAAACCTCCTTCGTAAACTGAAATAACAAATAATTGAAGTGCCGTAGTATTACTAAGTGGTCTATATATAAAATCTATATATAAAGTCCATATATATAAATGTAATGTGTCGTTGAATGTTTGCTACAGCAATCCTAAAACGTATTATCAGGTAAGTGGCGGCTATGCTGTGAATTAAGCTTAGGTAAGATTAAAGCAGTAAGTACAGTAATTAAGAGCAATCAAAAAGTCTATATGTGAAATACTGTTTTTACGAAAGAAATTTTGTGCAAATAACAACTTACGATTCTAAGTTTTTTGAGTGCTGCGACTGGAGTAGGCACACACCGTGGACAATAAATACACCACATCGTGTCCTATCGCTATACGTGATGTGCCGCAAATCTACTAAACATTTAACCAATTCGTTAAAATCAGTCAACAATCTATTCATATTGATTATTTGATTTAATTAACCTATCTAGATGAACTAGAAAAGTATCCTACAAAACATTATCTTAATCTATTTTTAAATAAAAAGGAGCCAAACAAGCATGCGGCTCACTGATGATTCGATAGCTACCTAGGGGCTAGACAGGGCAGTGCTCCGGGACCCCCAAACTCAAGGGACTCCTCAGCCTCCATTAGCGACGTCCGTAAAAATTATACATATAATATCTATAAAGAATCTATATTATAATTATAAAAAATCGACTTTATACTTTTTTAACTGTAACCTACTTTGTCATTGTTTATTTTTACTAGCTTTTGCTCCCTACTTCGCCTGGTATAGACCACCATTGAAAATTATCCCACGGGATCCTTTTGTCGGGATGAAACGGTGTGCTTAATTCCATCTTTGGATATCCATACAGTAGTTTTTACGTACACATTTATAATATTACTAGCAATCCCCCTCGGTTTCACACAGTTGCAATCTACATGTGGTGTCACTTATGTTCAAAAAGGCACTGTTCGATCGATTTAGTTTGTCGCTTTGGTATTGATAATAATTCATTATTAGGAAAAATGCGCTAAATAAATATCTTATCGTGTAAGTTATCGTGAATCATAGATCCTAATTTGTGTACGCGATGTATAGGTCAAAGTTTTATCAATACTGTCGGTTATTTCAGTATATCTTTTCATTACACTATATTAACAGATTTTGTCTGAAAGTGATGCCCGAAAACTACATATAGCTGTTCATGAGAAAACACTTAGGTCTAAGCCCGCACAACGTTGAATGTTTAGCCTTGTAATTTGTTTATTGTCACTGAAATGATGATGGTTATGTTGGGGAACATACAGGGTTTCATATCATTCCTACGTATAAAAAAGCTCAATTTCATGCCTCTACTCCGGTTGGAGCCTACAACTTACACCCTCGTCTAAAAGCTGATTAGATTTAAAAAAAAATAAAGAAAATAATATGCATCTATTTTCTAATTAAAAAAAAATGTTAATAAATTTTTCTCCATACAAATTTAAAACCTTATGCCCCTCCGTAAAGGGTTGATTTGAAACATCTCAGAAGAGTACCTTCAGTAAATCTCGAGTCAATCGCGAAGTAAAATAAAAAGTTTTTTGTTCTATTTTCCCAACATACCGTTACCGTTACAGCCTAGAGGGGATATTTGCCACAGTTGCCACGCTTGGCAAGCGGGTTGATATTTGCCACAGTTGCCACGCTTGCCAAGCGGTTTTTTTGTCGTTATTAGGAAAACGCTGCTGACCATCTCCTGATACCTGTAACGCCCCTCTTACTAAGGGTTGAATTTTCCAAAATTCTTTATTATTGGTTGCTTACGTCATAAAAGACAGCTACTGTCAGATTTCTACGTTTTGAAAAAGTGTGACAAATGAACACGCAGTTCACCTAATTTGAAGTGGATGCTGTTGCTGGATCTATATTTATTTTTAATTAACGTTGTCACCCCTGAGGACTAGGATCTAATGCCTCGTTTTTAGTATAAAGGGTCTCCGGTTCACTACACTCACCATACGAAACACAGCAACATTAATTTGCTATTTTAGGCTGATACTCGTATTCCATGAGAGCGTGCACCTACCCCGATCGAGCCGGCCCATTCATGCTACAACCGTAATATAGCTACGTTATAGTTCCAAATTTTCAGATTTCTAGGTAAAGCGGTTTGGACTGTGTGTTGATAGATGAGTCTAATACTCAGGATACCCTCTTTTATATACATAATATATAGATTAGGAAGTACGATTAAATATTATCTGCTGCGTTACATATACGAGTACTACTAGTAGTTTTGTTTTTTTATGTCTTGCAGTGGGCGATAAGGAGCTGATGAATAATTAGTTTTACACCTTTAAAGTATTTAGTTTAGTTTAAATAGAGCCCCAATTTTATTTTTGCCCCGGGGCACTTGGTTGCATAGCTACGTCACTGAGTGTCACAACCGCCGATTAACAACGACATCACCCGGGAATAGCAGATGCGTTGCCGGCCTTTTAAAAAAAGTTAGTCTTTTTCTTGCAGGTCCCTAAGTCGCATCGGTCCAGAAAAATCGCAGGTGGTAGTCGATTCCATAAGGAAGATATAGGAGGAAGAAAACTTCTTGTAAATCGCACATTGGTGAACCGCCAATCTTCCAGATGGCATGGATGGTATCGCGAGTTTTGTCGTGATGTGCGATGGTGAAAGTATTCATTCATATTGTCAGAGCCACTTCCAAGTTTCCAATTATTCATATACCAAAATTATTAGTTGCTTCAAATATAAAGATATAAGTAAGTAAGTAATAATCTATCAATTAAACTTCATATTTTAACATTAAAAGCATATAAAAGTTACGTGTAAAATATTTAAGTTAATATTTACGCTCCACTCAGAAAATCCTTGTGTAATCTATTTCAAACTTCCTCGTCGAGGGATGTATTGAACCACAAATTACCCGCAATATCTCGTCTACCCAGCCTCAAATATTAGGATAGACTTGTTATCTCGCTGCGAATGTCACGACCGGGCGCGACATTGGCAATAAACAGAGCAGACCGCAAACATGTATTGTGTTTTATGTGTAGTACGTTCAGTGAGATATACAGACTTATTTCCTTTGTATAAACTATATTAATCAATAGGGGTAATATTCGTCAGATTTCACGTTTTACTGTAGTAAGATTTCTAATTAAGTAAAAGGCATTATATAGGTACTACAAGAAAATAAATTTAAAAGACATGTTATTTTTAACACTTTATTAATATATTATTCAAATGACACGATAAAAAGTAACTGTGTGTCTTATAAAAGGCCTGCATTCTTTTTAAGGTTGCTATTCTATAATACCTATATCTAGATATTTTGAATAGGTATCTTATTTCAAGCAACATATTGAATGCAAGTTGTACGTTTTAAAATTCGTTTAGTATGTACCACCAAATACACAGGAGTATAGACAAGAGCAAGAACAAGAAAAACGATCTATAAAACCAGATCTATAAAGACCCACATGAACATAAAGCTGACGTCTGCCACCAACACTCCGGGAAGTCCGCAATCTGTGAATACATTCAGGATCGTCCACGTTATTACATTAGATTTGATTAAAC